GTACATGTAGGTGACAGATTATTATCTATCAAAATAGAAAAAAATCCATAACAATGAGTACATAAATTCTTAGGTTTGGATCCCATAACAATGAGTGTTTACTGCCAGTCATGAGAAATCATGAGAGGAGACATTCCAGTGATTTCTCCTAGATGGAATATTAGTATTAATGGATAGCAGCTTCCCAGGTCAAATTCTTCTGTGTGATAGGAGAACGCTGAGACCAAACGTTCAGACTGGGCCCACGATCTTAAGAGCCTGCTCTGTTGTCCAGGGATTTTGTTTTGTGTGTGTTTGTGATAACCAGTAGCTGTAGCAGCCAGGCTCACAGTAAGCATCTAACCCTGTTTCTGCTACCTTCATGGAACCCACTGGAAACTCTGAGGGTTCAGAGTTCACATCTCTGTGGAATGTGGTGGTGAGCTCTTTGGTGGCAGGCCCATTTCCCTGGTTTTTATTGTCTCTCCGGTTTCCCATTGGGCAAGATGTGGACAGGAAGGTTTATGAATTTAGTCCGCTGATGCTGTGCGGTGCCTAACAGGCCTCTGGGCCACAAAGTGTACCGAGTAGGCACAGGTGGGAACTCAAGAAGAGGAGAAAGGCAACTCCCTGTCTCATTGCTGGGATGTGCGGCCCACATGCAGTTCCCAAGTCTCTTTTCTAGGCACGAGGATGGACACAAAGATCCTTCTGCCTGGGGTGTGTGTGGTGTGGCACAACTCGTGCTCAACATGCAGAGACAAAGGAAGACTCAGAAGCGTTCCGTGGACCTGGCTGAGGCCGGCACCTCCTCAGCCCTCCTGGTCGTTTTGCTCAGAAGGGGTTCGGGTAGACAGAAGCTCCAGTGACAGGTCTCTCTGCTCTTGTTCAGAGCTGACGTGGCGGTAGCCCAGCAAATTCATAGTATCACCACAGACTTTTTGAACTCTAGAAACCTTTTCAAAAGGCAAAGACCAGCGCCAAGCCTGGGAGACGTTGATGGCGTCCCTGGCGTCGGTGTGGAAGGCGTGCTCACCCATGCCCTTGCCGCGGGTGATATTGTGCACCCAGGTCTGGAGACGTGGCAGGAATTTCAAGCCCACGTAGGCATACATCCGCGAGGTCTGGGCCAGGGGGGCCCGCACCAGGTCCTCGTAGCGCACCAGCAGGTAGCGTTGCTGCAAGGCTTTGGGCAAGGATCGGATGGCCTTGTAGATCTCCAGCTGGCTTTGGCAGATGACCTGAAGCACGTCATAGGGCTGGTCCTCTTTCTTGTGGTTGTGCCAATTCTCCCCCAGCACTATGCGGCTGTCAATCATAAGGTCCCCTCCTGTGTGTTCTCGGGACCGGAACACAGCCCGGGGGTCGCGGACCAGGTGCACGATGGTGAGGTTGAGGGACGGGTCTGTCAGCAGCGGGTAGAGGGACTGCAGGTTGAGGAAGCGCACCTCCTTGAGCACCACGTGGCTGTAGGAGCGGCAGGCCTTCTCCACCACCTCGAAGGGCTGTTGGTTGCACAGGAGTCTGCAGTGGCTCGGGGGTATGATCTCATCCCGTGAGAAGATGTTGCAGGCGGGCGGGGAACACAGGGCCCGGCTGTCGTCCCACTGGAAGAGGCTGGACTGTCTCCGGGGACCAGGTTGCATGTAGGCATCGAAGACACTCATGTCGCACAGGAAGATGGACCGGATCAGGTCCCGCACGGCCATGTCCAGCCTCCAGGCAGAGCTCTGGGTGAAGGTCATCCACACGTGCCAGGCGGGCTCCATCAGGTAGAAGACGTCCGGGTGCTGCCCAAAAAGCTGCCCCACAAACGAAGAGCCGGAGCGCCAGGAAGACAGGACCAGCACGTGTATGTGCTTGGGCTCATCCTCATCCTTCCGGGACAGGGATCCTTCGCTCTGGCTGTACATGTGGAGGAACAGAGCGAGGATCCCAGCCTGGAAGACCAGGAGCAGCAGCAGCCTCATTTTTGTGGACAGTATCATTGCACCAGATGGGCAGACCTTTAAGGAACAAGCAGAGGGGCTGAGTTACGCTGCTGTTTTGGTGTCTGCCTTCCATTCCCTTTGTAGACAAAGCCACCATTTCCCGGACCCTCACCCAGGAGCAGCATGGGTCGGAGCACTCCCCGACTGCGCACATCCCTCTCCAAGTCAATTTCTGTCCTTTACAGTTCATGGGTCGACAAGTTCTATTTATTTTAGGGGCTTTCGTTCCTCCTTCCGCGTCTGTCTTGTCCACCAGACTACCAAAAATACCCAAACTCAGCCATGTTTAATCAACATAGGGCAAGGGCTTCACCAGGGCACCCTGGTGGTGAACCTGAGTTTACACAGGCTGTGTGGGCAAAGCCTAACCTTTGTCTGGCCCGAGTCTTGGTTGAATGCCTGTGACTCCTCCAGAAACTCAGGGAGATGAGCTGCCTGGTGGGGAGCAGCCTGGAGGCATTGCTCACCCAGCCCCCCCATCTTGAGGGAGACTGCCTCAAGGCCATTTCTTATCCCCCTCCCCCATTGCAATTAAGCACAGAACTTTCTCAGTCCCTCAAAGGATGGGGCTGCAGGATGTAACACACAGACAAGTGGCAGAGTCAAGCGCTCAGGGCACCTGTCATCTGGTCCCATCATGTGGGACTAGGGACGTGGGGAGCTGATCTCATGCTGGCCTGTGTCTATGCAGGTCACAAACTATTGGAATCTATTTGAGGTGAGTCATTATCTCCTTACTTGCTGACTCTACCAAAGGGCGGCAAGGCCTTCTAAGGGCTCAGAGCTATATCACCATCAGTAATGACCCTGGTGACCTGTTGGCTGTTGTGCTGCTGCTTGAGGAATGCTTGACCATTACACACAACCTACTCAGGGCTGCTCAGTATGGCTGGGCAAGTGTATATTGCAGGACCATAGGGAATAACATCTCATCAAGAAATCAGATGCTTATAAAAAATTCTATAGATGACAATAAAGTATCTTGGTCTAGCAAAATAGGTATAGTAAGATGGTTTTCCAGGCTTGGTGCCCATAGCTCAGTGATTAGGGCACTGACCACATACACCGAGGCTGGTGGGTTCGAACCCAGCCTGGGCCTGCTAAACAACAATGACAACTGCAACCAAAAAAATAGCCAGGCATTGTGGTGGGTGCCTGTAGTCCCAGCTACCTGGGAGGCTGAAGTGTGAGAATTGCTTAAGCCTAAGAGTTTGAGGTTGCTGTGAGCTGTGTCGCCATGGCACTCTACCAAAGGCGACGTACTGAAACTGTCTCAAAAAAAAAAAAAAAAGATGGTTTTCCAGTTGTTAGATCGTAAATATTTAGGGAGAGGAGTCCACTTTGTAATCCACACTAAAGCTTATGCTAGCTGGTGGCAGCCCTGAATTTACTCCCTTCACAATTGGGGCTTGCTTTGTGTGAAAACAACAAGGTTCCCAGCACCATGCTAGAATAGTATTCTAAGGGAGATTTTAACCCTCCTTCTTACATGAACTTGAATCATTTTAGATGACTTCCTGATATAAATAAGTATTGAGAGATATAATAGGCATTACATATAGTCTAACTATTAATGGTAGTAAGGTGTTGATTTGTATATGTGTACTTACCATTATGTACCCAAGAAAGCCTTCATCCTGTCTTTAATAAAAAAGAGAGACTGTATTTCTAGACATTAATTGGAGCTGGATTTGGGGTCTGCTGTTTTCCCAATGGCAGGTCTTATCACCAATTTTTTAAAAAAAGCTTTAGTAGGTAATAGTAAAATCATTCAAATTGTTTTAAAAAGTGTCTGTGGACTCAGAGTTTTAAAAAAGGCTTTCCAGGTGTGGTGGCTCATGCTTATAATCCTAGCACTTTGGGAGGCTAAGGTGGGAGGATCGCTTGAGGCCAGGATTTTGAGACTGGGCTGAGAAAGAGTGAGATCTCATATCTACAAAAAATAGAAAAATTATCTGGGCATTGTAGCAGGCACCTGTAGTCCCAGCTACTTGGAGGGCTGAGGCAGGAGGATCTCTTGAGCCTAGGAGTTTGAGGTTGCTGTGAGCTATGATAATGTACTGCACTCCAGTGTGGGCATCAAAGACGACCCTGTTTCAAAATAAATAAATAAAAATAAAATAAGGCTTTTCTAAGATTCTGCATGCAGGAAGGAAAATGGAGGGGTGTTTGCCAGTCTGCAGCCCAGCCTTACACATTCCAGGTTGTTAACATCTATGACAGGGAAGGAGATATCTTATGACAAGCAGTTGTGTCTATGAAGGGTCTGTAGTTGGAAGTAAGAAAGCTTCTAGAGCTGTTTGTAAACAGGGGTAATGACGTATCTTTAAAGGAGTCACAGTAGTTTTTTTTTTTTCCAGGAGAAAGAAAACCTAAGGATTTCTCTAGCTGCTAAATCAGTAACCTCTTCTCTATGTATTAACAGCCAGTATTTATTCACCAGGTGGTGTTTTATATACAGTGAAAAGTCTACCTTCAATACCTGTGCTCCATCTCCCCACTTCTCAACTTGCCCCAGATAGCAGCAGAGTACATTTTTATGTGTTCTTTCAGTTGCTTTATGCATACACAAGAAAATTCAAATGTATATGCATTCCCAATTTCCCCCCCTCTTTAAAACACACAAAAACCCGGCAAGTTATCCACACCATGCTTTTCTTTTCTTTCTTACTCATAAGCGTGTTTGGGGAGCTTCTGCAGCATTTCCTTATTCCTTTTTACTTCATGAGATGACTGTATGGATATACCATAATTTATTTAACCAGTTTTCTCACTGATAGGCTTTTGGGTTGTTTCCAATCTTTTGCCATTCCAAAGGGTTCAGTAATGACCTTTATGTTCACACACCATTGCACATGTATGTGATGTAAATCCTCAGAAGTGGAAGTGCTGAGTCAAAGGGTTTGTACACGAGTGACTCTGGTATCCATTGCCCAGGCAGCCTCCATACTGATCATAAAACATTCTATGTCTAGAGATCCAGAGATATTAGAGAGTGGATTTTAGAGGAGAAGTTGGCCAGCAACAGATGTGACTCTGGGAGCTTATAGCTTTCTCCCTGAGAAGGGGGAGCATGTTTTGCCAGCTTGTGGGCTTTCTTTGGAAGTCCCCCGAACCTTCTGGGAAGTGTGTGATGATCAAGCCAAACCTTGAGTGGCAGTAAAACCCCTTCTCTTCCATTTGTACCAACAAAGATTTTCCTCTGGATGTGCCAAAAAGATCTAGTGAGGATCATATCTCCTTCATGGCCAAAAATCACTTTGCTGCATGCCAGGGAAATGTCAGTGATGGCAATTCCTGCCTTGTGGTCTTGGCTCTGTAGATTAGCACAGGACCAGCTAAGATATGCTCCTAGTTCTTCAAATTTGAGTCCAAAAGGAAATGATTAGAAACTAGGCCATTTTTGATAATGGCCCAAGGATATCCCTTAACCCTTCCTCAAAGACTGAAGAGGTGAGTTTAGTAAAAGAACTTCTCCTAAGGGCAACGTAAATATGAGGAAAAGTATGGAACAAAGATAGGAATCAATGGATCAAAAAAGACGGGAAAATAAGGAGAGTTTAACCTGCGCACTTATAAGGAAACTGTAGTGGAATTTTATAAACAGGGTCTACAATAACTACAGGAAAAAGCCAACATTTCCTAGGCATTAGGAAAGTAGACCTTTCAAAGTTACCCCCCTCACCCTCCCTCCATCTGGCTTTCAGCCAACCCTGAGTCCTATGCAGGTCACCCTGGCTCTGTGCCCTCCTAGTGCGCCAAATCCTTCTGGCTCAAGCCCATTCCCTCCCCAGCTGGAGTTGGGCCACCTAAATCTGTCCCCAGTCATTTTCAGTCTTTAGTTGTCTGTGGTTTTCAGGAATTGCCAGGGAAACCCTCTGCCTTCTTTTTCTTTCCATAAGCCCTTTCCCCAGCTAGAAGGAGACGTAGACTCTTGTAAAGCAAGTCTAATCCCTTGCTGCCCAGTCCTAGCCCTTCCTGGACTAGGCAACATGTGATGGGACTGACCAGAAGGCCAGGGAATGCTTCAGGGTGTGTCTTAGGGAAAGCTCTCTCTGCCAGGACTAAATCAGTAGTAGAGGCAGAGGTTCTTGAGGTCGTGGAGAGACCAGAGGAGAGACAATGCGAGTCAGCAGTGTGCTGAATTGAAGGAGACTCTTCAACTGCATCCTTGAATTCGCCCTCTCCTTGCCACAATTCCCAGTTGCCCATCTCTAGCATGGCCTTTGACAGTAGCCTTTGTCTTCTTGCTCAGCACGTGCCCATCATCCATTGCTGCCCAGAATGACCTTAGAGGGCCCACACCTGTCACTCCTCTGCTAAAAATCCTCCCATAACTGTCCAATATATACAAGATCAAATCAAAACCCACAGGCCTTGTACCGGGTCCTTGATGGTCTTTGATTTCCTGTTAGTCCCCCCCTTTTGAAGTACCTTTGGCTCCAGACTTAATGTGCCCTGTTAGTTAAAAGCCCTGAAACATTTGCAAGACTGCCACTCTTCTTTCAAGAGTCTCTCCACAGGTCACCTTCTCTCCTAAGAAATCCATCTCTCTTCCTCCCAAGATTTATTTGTCACCAAACTTTTCATTAGCATCCATCCCACTCGATAGTAAACAGCTGTATGTGACTGTCTCTTCTCTCTGGGCTGCTACAATGTAGGGAAAGGCCTATTTTTTTTTTTTTCTTTTAACATCACCCTAGGTAGAGTGCCTTGGCATCATAGCTCAAATTCTTGGGTTTGAGCAATCCTACTGAGCCCTGTTTATAAAACAGGACTACAGGTACCAGCCACAACGCCTGGCTATTTTTTAGAGATGGGGTCTTGCTCTTGCTTAGGCTGGTCTCGAACTCATGAGCTCAAGCAATCCACTCACCTCAGCCACCAGAGTGCTAGGATTACAGGTGTGAGCCCCTGCCCCTGCCCCTGGCCAGCCTGTTTTTTCTTGCTTATAGGTACGTAACAATTCTACACATGTTACACACGATCAGGGCTTG